GCAAGAGCAGCATACAGTGGGGCCAGAAGATGTATGGGGAGGAAAAGACACCAGACAAAGAGGAACTCCAAACTGCAACTCAACACCTTTGTGCTCCCTGGGTGAGAATGGCCATGCTCCATTCATGTCTGAGAGTGGAACCTTGGGAACATGGGAATGTACCTCATTTACCCCCTCCAGTGCCACCTCCAAGTTATGAACATAGGGCCACTATTAGCAGGTGGCAGGAGCCCTGTCCGTGCACTGCTTGTCTTCCCATTTCCTCTGGTCTCCATGTGTGATTACTGGACTGTCAAGAAAGGATGTGAAAGAAGGCATGGTCAGTCCTTAGTGGACAGAGGGTGTGGAAGAGACTCTGTGGGACATCCAATGAGTATAAACATATTGAAGTGAAGTTTGTTTATGAGGTGTCATTATACCAATTGCAAGAAGAGAGGAGGCTCAGTGGGATATGCTCTGCAGGACCTCTATACACTGTGATCCTCAGCAGTAATGCACAGCCCCACTGGGCGAATGTCCCAGAGGCAATGCTGTGGGAGCAGCTAGCAGCACAGAATCAGAGACTGTGAGATGTGGGGGAAGTAGGGAAGGAGAAGGAAAATAAAACACCAAGATCAAGATTATGGTGCAAGAGAGAGCTTTTATTGTAGGAATACGGGAGGAGGAGGATGATGTAAAATGGGCAGCCCCTGGCCAGAGGCTGTTCCCATCAACTTGGAGATGCAGAAGGATAGGAGCAAACAATCAGTGTTGGACTGTGCCATCACAGGGATGCCAGACCTGAAGTAAAGATCATACAGAGCAAAGAAAGATAGAGCTGCGCTCTGTACAAGTTGTCCAGGCTCCAGAGACCAGCAGTGCCGAAGGGAAGTCCTTGCTCATGGCATCAGGTGGGGATGTACTAGAACTTCTCCGGAGCTCTCCTTCGACCATGGGCAGAGGCAGTGCTGTGCTTAGCAGGGCCCGCAGCTGCCACTGAGGTATCCAAGACCTCGGCGCAAGCCACCGTATCCGCAGCTGCCAAAGCCTCCATAGCCCCCAAAGCCTCCAAGGCCATAAGAGCCTCCATAGCCTCCCAGGCCTCCATAGCCCCCAAAGCCGGCACTACGTCCAAAGCTGCCACCCAAGCCCGATCCAATGGCAGGGACTCCTGCTGAGCCAACCACAGCGTTCTGTGGGAAGGAGCTGAGGATGGGCCCGGGGAAGGTGACCACGGTGGCCGGGGGTTGGATCACCACGGTGGAGTCGGGGCACTGGCGCACGCAGGGCTCATTGCAGCTGTTAGCCAGTGGGGCCGGGGCGGCCACACCGCAGGCAGGGGCACACAGGCTGGAGCAGGACATCTTCCACACAGTCAAGCAGTCCTGCAAAGGGAACTCAAAGTAAGGAAAGGGTTGGGGAGACCTGTATGGATGGAGGCAGAGAGAGAGCCCTGAGAAGCCTCTGAGAGCTGCACTTACCCAGGAGCTGAAGGGAGTCAAGTGGAGGAAGCTGGATAGAGGACTGTAGAAGCCCTCAGCTCTTTTATACCCATCCCAGACAGCCTGAGGCATGCACTCGAAGGCAGTGGTGGCAGAAGCTCCCAATAATCATGAAATAAACCAAATACGAATCATGACTCACAGGAAAAGATGCAGAGCAACTATTTCACTTCCCATTGGGTACACTGAGACAAAAACGTGCCTTGGAGAACAGCAAGGGGATGAGATGGTGACGTGGCTATACACAATTACTTGAAATAAAAGGTGCTGCTCTTGCTGATGTGTTATGAACCAATAACCCCCAATGGGTTCCTAATGCCTTCGCAGGTCAACATGCAGAAACAGACATCATAGCTATAGACGTACCCTTGGCTGGCAAATCAGAAATGCCCCGTGCTCCACTGGGCAGGGAGCTGCCAACAGTCAGAGATGCTCTGACTTCCCAACCCAATTGCATCCCACTGTTTGCCACTGAAGGGTGGTGGCAGTTGTTTGGGAGCTGTCCCAGGAGGGGGGGATCATTTCATCGCTTTGTCCAAAGTTTACCAGCCCATAAAACAGCGGTTATGAAGGTAATGATAGACATTGTGTTTGTGAGCAGGATTGCAAAGTGCTTTGTCTGCAGGATACCTCTGAGTCTTTCTCATAGATGAAGTTTGGGATTAAGAACAAATTGGGGTTTATAGGTGTTGCGAGGTCAGCATCAGCAGCACGTGGTCTGTCTTTCATGTAATTGCTTGTAATCACCACTCCCTCTCATCAGCCACTTGTTCTCCAGAGCATGCTTACACCCCAATATCTCCATTGATGAGGGATTTAATTGCTTTGCCTCACTCCATGATTGTCATGAAACACTGTTGCTTTATTTCACAATTATCTGGGACTTCTGCCACCAATGACCTCCCATCTGTGCCCCGGGCTGTCACGGATGGGTATAAAAGAGCTGTGCACTTTGTAATCCTCTATCCAGCTTCTTCCACTAGATTCCCTCCCTTCAGCTCCTGGTAAGTGCAGCTCTCAGAGGCTTCTCAGGGCTCTCTCTGCCTAAATCCATATGGCTTTCCTAAAGTCTTTCCTCACTGTGGGTCCCTTTGCAGGACTCCTTGACTGTGTGGAAGATGTCCTGCTCCAGCCTGTGTGCTCCTGCCTGCGGTGTGGCCGCCCCGGCCCCACTGGCTAACAGCTGCAATGAGCCCTGCGTGCGCCAGTGCCCCGACTCCACCGTGGTGATCCAACCCCCAGCCACCGTGGCCACCTTCCCCGGGCCCATCCTCAGCTCCTTCCCACAGAACGCTGTGGTTGGCTCAGCAGGAGTCCCTGCCATTGGATCGGGCTTGGGTGGCAGCTTTGGACGTAGTGCTGGCTTTGGGGGCTATGGAGGCTCTTACGGCCTTGGAGCCTTTGGAGGCTATGGAGGCTTTGGCAGCTGTGGATACGGTGGCTTTCGCCGTGGTCTTGGATACCTCAGCGGCAGCTGCGGGCCCTGCTAAGCACAGCACTGCCTCTGCCCATGGTCGAAGGAGAGCTCTGCACAAGCCCCAGCACATCCTCACTTGACGGCAAGAGACAGGGTTTCCCTTCCCCATTGTTGGGCACTGGTGCTCAGTCTTCCCATCCCTGCACAGTGACTCTGTGCTCTATGTTCCTTTGCTGTGCTTGTACTTCAACTTCAGATCTGGACACCCCATGATGTCACAGCCCAGGACTGGCTTCCTGCTCCTTGACCTCTGTCCTGTGCAAGAGATTGGGGACATCCTGTGGCCAGGGGCTGCTCTTCCACCAACTCTCGCAAACATGGAACCTGCAATAAAATCTGTCTTGCATCACAGTTTCCATCTCTGAGTTTTCCTTCACATCTCCTCGATCCCTAGTTCCCACTGAAGTCACAAAGGCTCTTTGGGGCCACCACTTCCAGCTTACAGCTGAGCCTTCTCAGGATCTCTGTGGGCTCTGCCCCATCCCCTCTCACCTGCCCTGAGCAGCAAAAGATTCAGCAGCAGCTGCCCCAGGCAGGCTCCATACTGCACCTTCAGTACTTGCTCCTCCCTCACAGCTCTCCCCCACTTCTCTGCCCCTGGCTCTACCTGCTGCAGCTCAAGAAGAGTTCTTGGCTCCATACAGAGCTCAGTGTCTGCTCTTGAGTGTCCCTGTAGTTGGCCTTTGTGATGTGGGGTCTGTGGACAGGCGTGCAGCCTTCTGAAGGGCACAAACAGTTCCAGAGACTCCTGTGATGCCCTGAGGCAAAGGAAGGAAGGTGAGAGCCTATGAGGAACCTTGTCTACAGCCTCTCAAGATTCTTTCCTGCTCCGCTTCTTTCCAGAGCTCCACATAGCATCGAGGATGCTGATTTTCCCCACCATTGCTCAGAAACAATTTCACAGCAGCTGTGAAAAATTGCTCTGACAGGGCAGCACAGCTGTGCTTCACTCTGCCCCATGTAGTGAATGCAGTGCTGGGCCCTTGGCTGTCCTTCATCTCATACAAACCTCCTGGACTCAGGTCACCCAAATAACCCCCCACCTCAGCGGGATGGGGCCCAGCCAGCACCTCCCACCCATGGGCCCTCACCCAGCCCACATGGGTCACCACAGGAGGCAAAACATGGGGTTTGG